GGATCCAGGCCCTCAGCTGGATTCCTTGCTCTTAGAGTGGGGACAGATTTCCTGCACTCTTTTGTATATCATTCTTTGGGTGACTATTATAAATACTCTTATAAACTGTGTCCTGTATTGTATTGTTCTCCTTGCAAAAATAACCCCCAAACCAACACACACTGATACCCAAACAGAGAAGGACCCAACAGAAAAAGAGAGCTGCACACCAATCTCCCTAATGAACATTGATGCCAAGATCCCCGGAAAGATACTGGGGAACAGAATGCAGCAAATCATCAAGAAGATTATACACTATGACCAAGTAGGATTCATCCCAGTGGTGCAGGGATGGTTCAACATATGGAAATCAATAAATAGAATACACCATACCAACAGAGCCAAGTAAAAAAAAATCACACGATCATCTCAATAAATGCAGAAAAAGCATTCAATAAAGTCCAACCCACATGTATGATACAAACTCTATAGAAAATTAGGATAGACGGTCTTTAGCTCAATCTGATAAAAGCCATCTATGACAAACCAACAGCCAACATCATACTAAGTGGACAAAAACCGAAAGCTTTCTAAAATCAGGAACAAGGCAATGATGTTCACTATCACCACTCCTATTCGTTATCATTCTGGAAACATTAGCCTGAGCAATTAGACCAAAGAAAGAAATAAAAGGAATAAAGATAGGAAAGGAAGAGGTTAAATGATCATTATTCACAGGTGACATGATACTCTACAGAGAAGACCCCAAAAACGTCACCAAAAGACTTCTAGGTTTAATACCCAAATTCAGTAGTATAGCTAGATGCATAGTCAACACTCAAAAATGAAAACCTTCCTGTACACAAATAACAAACTTACTGAAAGAGAAATTAGGGAAACCACGTCTTTCACAATAGCATCCAAAAAAATGAAATACCTAGGAATCAATCTAATGAGGGAAGTAAATGACCTCTACATTGAAAACTACAGTATTCTTACAAAGGCAATCTAAAAGGATATGAGAAATTTGAAAGATATTCCTTGCTCTTGGGTAAGAAGACCAACGTTGTGAAAATGGCCATACTCCCAAAATTGTTATACAGATTTAAAGAAATCCCAATCCAAATTAGCATGCTTCACAGAGAAAACATACCTAAAATTCATTTGGAACCAGAAGAAACCTAGAATAGCAAAAATGATTCCGGACAACAAAGGCAAGACAGGGGGCATCACAATCCCTGACTTCAAATTATACTACAGAGCTACTGCGATTAAAATCAGTATGGTACTGACAAAACAAACAAACCAACCAACCACTAGACATGAGGATCAGTGGAACAGATTAGAAGATGCAGGAACAACTCCAAATACATTCAGCCACCTGATCTTTGACAACAGGACCAAATACATTCCCTGGAAGAAAGGTAACTCCTTTAATAATTGATGCCGGAATAACTGACTTTCCACACGTCAAAGATTAAAATTGGACCTATATCTTTCAGCATGCAATAAACTAAAATCAAAACGGATCAAAGATCTAAACATTACAATAGAAACACTAAATCTGCTGAAAGAGAGAATGGAACTCTTGAAGACATTGGTGTAGACAAAGATTTAAGAACAGAACCATGACTGCACAGGAAATAATACAAGAAATCAACAGCTGGGATCTCATTTATTAAAAAGCTTTTCCACCACAAAAGAAATGACCAACAGAGTGAAAGGGCAACCCACAGAGTGGGAAAAATTTTACTAGTTGTTCCTCTGACAAAGGACTAATACCTAGAATATATAAAGAATTAAAAAAATATCAGAACTACTAAAATTTAAGACCCAATTCTAAAATAGGTATCTGACATGAATACACATTTCTCATAGGAAGAAGTATGAATGGCAAACAGGTGCA